ATTTTAAGTTTTATAAGAAAAAAGTTTTCGAATAAATAAAAAACAAAAAATGAAAAATATCTTCACTTGTTTGTTTATTTTTTTAAGTAAAAAAGTGGATAACTCCTAGCTATCAAGCTTCAATGCACCAACAATACAACTAGGTGGTGAAACTGAAATAGACCATTCCACTCTCTCTGGCCTTAAGTCGGATGCCCTAGCTAAAGCATGAGGCACCCCATTAGCCGATCTACATGCAAAAACCAACTACACATTTGTGATCTCCAATATAAGAGATTTACAATCATGAATAATAATCCCAAACCCACTAATATCCCTTTTGCAAGTGGCATTAATAGCTAAACAAACTACATGGGCATCAGATTCTACAATCATATGCATCCAAGCGTGTTCTTTAATCCAACTGAGGGCCTCTCTAACTGCTATCGCCTCTGCCACTTTTGGAGCAAAGCAACCCATTAACTTTAGCACTCGAGCTCGCAGAAACATTCCCCTTGCATCACGAAGAACCATCCCTACACCAATTGTCCCATCCCCAAAAATGGCTGCATCAACATTAATCTTCTGCCAACAGCACGTGGCCTTTGCCAAGAAAGAGTTTCCGCAGCCTGCGTGGGACCTGAAGCAGCTCGCAAATTAGCTTGAACCCAGTCACCCAAAATCACCTTGGCACGGGACAAAATCTGCAGCGGTGCCATCCCCCGACTGTTCCATACAACATCGTTTCGATTCTGCCACAAAGACCAACAAACACAGGCCATCAGCATGCATCCTCAAGCGTTGCTGGAATAACAACAACATATACAAGCCAATCTCTGAAAGTTAAAAAAATATGTTCACCTGTTAATAGTAAAAAAAAAAAAAAAAAATTCAATGGAATAACTTAAAAAAATTATTCATATTTTTTGTAGCTAAAAGAAATAAAACAAATTAAGAATTTTTTAAAATTTTTAAATATGTATTCATGATTTGATAATAATAATAATAATAATAATAATAATAATAATAATATATTTTCATAATTTTGCAAAAAAATTTAAAAATAATTATTACCATTATAAACATATTTTATGCAATAAAAAAATTAATTTTATCTTAAAATATAATGTAAACTTAAAAAAATTAATTAATTAAGTTGAAGAAAAAGTCATTTTTTTAAATGGAAAACAGTCAATAAACATGACTTTTATTTGTAAAAGATAATTATGCAAATCAATTTAAACATGCTTTCCAAATTAAATTTTATAAAACTGAAAATTTGATTTCATGTTTCCTAAATAGAAAATTGACACACTTGAACACACAATTTAATTTTCTACAAATAAAAATTCTCTTATCCTTTTCAACTTGGAGAAGGATTAACAACTCCTAGTTCTAAAAAACAATAAATTACATCTATCTATATCTATTTATTTATATAAATACATAAAAACTCAACCAAATTTGCTTATGTGGCACGATATTATAAAAAATTTAGTTGGTGGTGCGGAATTTTGTTATTTTTAATATTTTTATTTAATTATCTAATTTGAAGAAATTAAATTATAAATTTTTTATTTTCTTTATTCAATGATTAATAACTATAAAATAAATTTATTTCATTAATAAAAAACTCTTTCTTTTTTTAATAATAGAACATTAATTAGTTTTTTCAATAATTAATAACTACATTATAAATTGATGTAACATTTTATTATTTTTAATTTAATTATCCTCTTTTTTTTTTTAAATAGTGATTCTCTTTTGAGTACTATATATATGATTATTGTATCTACTAAATTTATCATACAAATTCTTATTTTCGTTTTTTAAGTTTAGTATACTTTTAGATAGTGATAAAAATTAATACCTTGAGCAAAAGATACCTATGATTAACGATTCATGAAGTTTCTTTCTTTTTTCATTTAGGTAATTTTATGATTTAAGTAATTATTTTAATCTGTAAAAGCAACATTTATGTTTATTATTTTTAATTTAGCTAAGAAGTGAGTCTATTGTTTTTAATATATTATTTTTAATTCGTATTAGTTATTTATAAGTATTAATCCGCACGTTGTGCGGGCATAAGATTAGTTTTTATCAACAAATAAATTATTATTAAATATTAACTAGAATTTAAAATAAACAACCGGCCCAAATATTGACTTTTTCATGTTTATAGATTAGGAAAAGTTTTAAAGATATATTAGAAAAAAAAAAAAAAAAAAAAGTATTATTAATATAACTAGAATTTAAAAATAACAACCGGCCCAAATATTGGACTTTTTTCATGTTTATAAGATTAGGAAAAGTTTTAAAAGATATATAGAAAGAAAAAAAAAAAAAAAGATATCAACATTAAATGAAATTTCATTATATGTTCTTGATCCATGTTAGAGTGGAACTCAGTCCATTTTCATTAGAAAAAAAAAAAAAAAAAAAGAAACAACAATTATGATTTCATTATATGTTCTTGATCCATGTTAGAGTGGAACTCAGTCCATTTTCATCACAATAGAGATTTGATCATTGAAAATTATCTTAAAGATCGTGAACATATCATACCATCCAAACTGTTTTAAGTCAATTCAAATCAATTCAAAATAGTGATTTTATAAAGTTGGTAGTTAGATTTCATTTATAAAATTTAAAATTTGATTTATAATTTTAGAGTCAAAATCCTCCAAATTTAATTCTATATATATAATTAATGCAATTTAATTCTTAAACGAAAATTTTATATACATTGCTCATTTTGAATTATGAAGTAATTAAACCAACTTGAACCACAGTAACGATTAGTTAGGTAGATTATATAATTATTTTATGAAAAGTGCAAAATTAAATTTAATTATATATGAGTTAAAGCTATAATTTTTTGTAATTTCTTTATAATAAATATAGAAATAAATTAACTTTAAAATGTTTAATCAATGATTTATTGAATATGTACCTTAAAAAATGATTTATTGAAGATGTAAAACATAAAATTAATTTAATTAGAGAAAAAATAAATTTAATTTTTAACTTTATTGTTAAGGTAAAAAAGTGATGTGAATTTTTTTTTTCATATGTATAAAACATGTTTATAGATAAATTACAGTTTGATCTTTATTTTAAATATGTTTTATTTACTTAATCTAGAAAGATATTATAAAAATATTCATAATTATTGATAAAATATTTTTATAAATAATATAAAATACAAATATTATCTTAAACTTACTTAATAAATATTTCACTGTAAATAATGATTTTGAGTTTAGGTAAACAATTATTTTGCCTATATTTTTTTAGTAATTGATTTAATTATATTTAATAACAATTTTTTTTACAGGAATTCAAGTTTCCCATATTTTGAGATGGGCGGAATGCATAATTTAATCCGTTAATTTTGACAAAAAAAACTATGCAGTATTCAAAAATTTAAAATTAACTTTATAGCACTCTAAATTTTTCTTTTTGTAATATTATCACATTTACTCGCATTAATAATAATACCCCTCCATGCAAAAATAAATATCAAATTTGCATTTTTTTTAAGAGAATATCAAATTTGCTTTTTTTCTCGTACCTTAAGAAAGCTAATTAATATATTTAATTTGTAATAAATTATTGAGTAAATTGATTATATTATCCTTAATTATATTAGAGAGACATTTTTGGTAACTATACAATTATTATCCATTGTTTGCAAATGGTAAAAATGGGAAAATTTTTTCATTTATTCGTACAATTTAAAAATGCGACACTTATTTGTGGACATAGTACTTTTACAAATATGACATTTATCTTTGGAATTAAGTAATGTTTAAGGTTTTTAACTTTTGAAATAATAATTTTCAAGTATCAAATAAAAATTTAATCAATTTAATTTTATAAATTAAAATGTTTAATACGTCAATTAGAATATTTAATAAATGCACAGAGTAATATTAAGTGATGAAATAATTTTTTATAACTTCGACACAAACACACCATGAAAATTAGACGATTGACACGAACAAGATACATTTAACCCGCTTGATATCATAAACAAGTTAAAGTGGGTCGTATCTTGTGTTGATCCATATACAACTTGTGTAACCCGCTTAATATCATAAATAAGTTAAATAAATGTATTGACCTAAGCGTGTAGATATCTTATTTTTTAAAAAAATTGTCGTATCTTGTGTGTTTCAATTTATATATTTTTAAATTACTTATATATTGTTTATTTAATAGTAATGTATTGTTTATTCACATTATTTTTAAGCGTGTGGATTACTTATTGATTGTTTTGTAAGAATAAATAAGTTTATATTAATGTTAGAGATAATTTTTTTTACAGATATTATCTTGATAAAGAGATTATCTGAAAATATAAAATAATTGATATTTTTACAATTCTTGCAATTGTGTTAAATTGTGTGAATTTTAACATTCGTCATCCTATAATTCAAAATAATGTGTGCTGCGTACACTTTGGCTTCCATATAAAACAAACTATCCTGAATTTATATTTATATACATATCGAATAAGTCGATAGACCATTTTTTTTAAAGAATATAGGAGCGAATTTAAATATTCAACTTTTTTGAAATTAGAAAATAAAACTACGACTCATATATTTATAAATTGGATTTTCCGAAAAAATAAAATTAGTATGACAAACAGATCAATTTTATATATGAGTGAAATTTTTTTGAAAGGATATACGAGTGAATTTAAATATTCAACTTTTTTTAAATTAAAAAATAAAAGTGACTCGTATATTTATGAATTGAATTTTGAGGAAAAATAAAATTAGTGTCCCAAATAGACCAATTTTATATACGAGTGAATTCGTTTTGAAAGCATATACAAGTGAATTTAAGTACTCAATTTTTTGGAATTAGAAAATAGAGCTACGACCCGTATATTTACGAATTGGATTTTCCGGGAAAATAGAATTAGTGTGCCAACCAAACATGGAAACTTATTCTGTTAAGTTACCTTCCCACAAGATTCCAGCCCATAAAAGGGTCCCTATATTATGGGCTAGAAACAAAATCTGTAACAAATCAAAACTGTAATTCTGAAAAAGAAAAAAAGAAAAAATAAAAAAAGTATTTTCCAGTTTATTCCTCTTCGCGTCATACAGCAGCAAAAGACTACCTATTTACATTGCCTTCCCCTGTCGAGTCCTCCGTTGACGGGGATACAACTTATTTTTCACATTTTCTAAACAATGGCTGATTTTGAAACTGAGAAGCCATTAAGGAAGATGTCGGAGGCGTTTAAAGAGCTAGCCGTCACTGTAAGCTCACAATCTGCTGATGTAGAAGTGGCGCCATTTTCTCGCGCTTGTTCTCTGGTCTCTCCTCTCTTTGGCTGCTTAGGTATCGCCTTCAAGTTCGCTGAAATGGACTATGTTGCTAAGGTTCGTCTGTTTCTTGAGAAAATTTCAATTTTATCATTTTATTCAAAGTGTTTGATTCGATTTTGATTTTATGATAACAGGTTCGTGATCTTGCAGAATCTTCGAAATCGATTGGGTCTTTGCAAGCGTTGTTGGATAGGGACATACAGGAGAATTGTGTGAAAAAAGCTGGTAGTCATTCGAGAAATCTTTTGAGGGTAAAGCGTGGGATTGACATGGTCAAAGTGCTTTTTGAGCAAATTCTTGTTACGGAGTAAGTCCTTTTAGTATTTAGTTCTCGTTTTTCATTTTGCTTTTGTTTTGATTTTTCCAGTTGACTCAAATTCCTTTACTTTTTTAGTTACTTCGTGCTTTCAATTGTTTGAGCTTATAAAAAAGAAAAGAGCTACTTTTGATGTCCTGATGCTCCTATTCATGGCTATTTAGTATTAACTTCCTCCTTGTTGTACAATGTTTAATATCAAGACCATCTTCTTCTCTGTTTACTCATCATCAACCAGAAATGTAGTTGTCTTCCTGTGTTTCTAGGTTGAGGAGAGGTTCTCAGAAAAGCAGTTGGAAAAACTGCAAATGAATGCATGGAGGTTCCAATAGCAATCCTTCTAGATTGAAACCAGTATGGAGGCATGCAATCAGGGAAATGGTTGTGTGCTTGTTATGCCTTTATGGGTGCATTTGTTTAAGTCAATATGTGGGCTTATGCTTCTGGAGATTTTACTTTAGCAGGGTCTCTTTCAATATTATCCAACACAATTGGAAGGCATTATCTTTTCAGCTTGTCTTTATGATTTTGTTGTTTAGCTGTCTTTTGATTTATGTAGGAGGATTCCCTTTTCTCCACAGGATACAGTTATTTCTTTCTTTCACAATTAGTTTTTCCCCCTATTCAAACAAAAAAGTCAACAGATATCTTATACTTATAATCATAACTCTTTATTGTTCCTCTTCCAACTTGCTGATTCCTCATTCATATTATATACATAGGTAATCCTTTGGTTAGAAATCTTGAAAGCTTCCTGGCTTAGAAGAGCTGCTCCATTTTTTTTTGCTTTTTTCTTTTTCTTAAATTTTTGTTAAAACTTTTCATAATCACGAACATGCATCTTGAATTCAAGATTATTTGTCTGTTGTGGTTCTAGAATCAGTAATACAAAATGTAAAAACAGAGGAAATTATCCAAATATTGACATGCTGAAATAACGTTAAGAAACCTGAGATGGTGAGCCAGAAATTGTTTTCTTTTATTGATATGATATTGCGGTAGTTAGAAAATCTTTGAGCATAACTAATGGCATACTCAATGCAGTATTTTCTGGACCTTCCCTGGCCCTTGGTTTATGTTCTGACATTTACTGAATGATGCAAAGGGCATTTATCTCCTGACTTAGTGGCATCAATTATCTTCAAAGATCTAGTGACGTTATTTATCTTAAAAGATTGCTGTACTATCTTGGAAATCACAGAGAATGTTCCTCAGATTTCTGTACTCTATATAATATGTAAGAGCAGGATTATATGCTTCTAATTCTTGCAGAACCTAGTTCGTTAAGATGTTGTACTCTTACAATTCTGTTTTAAGATTAGGAACCTTATTTCTGCTATTTTGCCAAATGCCTTGACTTGAAATATCTGTTGTTTTATTGGCTATTGAATTGCATATTTTTTACCCATTTATGTTTCACCAATTTTAAACTCAAATCAATCTATTGGTATGAGAATAATTAGACTTGATTTTACTTGTAACATGAAATTCATCTGGTCAGTTGAAATTTGGCCTTATCTTTTATGTGTCAGCTAACTAATAAAGTCCTATACCCCACCTTGAACAACTCAAATAAAGAATCTTGTTTGCTATGCTAGATATCTGACTGAATTTCTATTGAATTTTGGAAATTAGACTTTATTTAAATATGAAATAAAGTTGATTCTTTTTTTTTTTTTTTTTTTTCTTTATTTAAATATGAAATAAAGTTGAATTCTTTTTTTTTTGTTTTTTTTTTTTTTTTTTTTTTTTGTGGCAAATTGAAGTTAACTGTGTTGAAATTTAGTGCTAAGTTTACTGATCGTGGGTGAAAGTGAAATGAACCCAACTAGTTATTATCACTTTCATAGATGCAGAATATACTGTTTAAGCAGGTTAGTATGATAGTATATAAAAAAAAAAAAAGGTCGTCTTAGGTTTAATTTGGTCAGACGGTTGATATTTCTTGTTATTCTCTCATGGCAGGGGGAATTCTTTGAAAGACCCAGCTTCCAGGGCTTATGCGCAGGTATTTGCTCCCCATCATGGATGGGCTATCAGGAAAGCTGTTGCTGCAGGAATGTATGCTCTTCCCACTAAATCACAACTTTTAAATAAACTGAATGAAGATGGTGAGTGCTTCCACCAACCAAAACACTTGTTTCTGAGGTTAATCAATAAGTCCTTGATATGTTTGCTCAGATGCATACCTGAAGCCTTAAAACCTGTCTTACAATTCACTCACAACATTTGACTCATTATACCATGATCATGGTCAACCTTTTCCAGAGCTCGCACATGTGGGATGCTTCGTGCATTGAGTCGTCCTTTTTTATACCATGATCATGCCTGTTGTTAACTGAGATATTTATGACATTTGGATCTCTAATTTGATATGATTCCTTACGAAATACAGTATAGTGCTGAATTTTCATTGCATAAAATTTGCAGTAAACATGTTGCGTTGGTGTCGGATTGGTTGTTTTGCATTTGTCTTGAAACTTGCTTTGATGTGTCCAGGAAAATATTGCTTCAAATTGAAGAGCTTATAGTAAATATTTTTCTATTAATTTGGCTCAGTCTTAACAAAGTTAAACTTGTTTTAGAGGGTCTTTGCAAGGCCAAAATAGAAGAAACTGTTCTCTTGGCCTGTTATATTTTCTAGTTGGTAATTGTTTGCTTCACCAATTTCTTCTACGTTTCAGAGACTTCAGCTAAGATTCAAATGGAGTATTTTATTGCTGCATCTGCACCAGTCATTTTATACATCGACAAACTCTTTCTTTCAAGAGAATTGGGTATAGATTGGTGAACCATTTGACTGCTAAAATATATATTATTTGTATTGTGTTTCCCCTCTTTTTCTTTTGGTTCAGAATGTTCATATTATTACAAGACATGAAGTAGAGTCGATATAATTACTAGTTAGCTCATGAAATCACTCAAATCCTATAACACAAGTGTAATACGGAGTTGAATTTTTTTTAGTATGTTGCTATTCAATTGTATTTGTAATTTTACAATTTGAAGTTGGGAAGTGTATTTTGTGCATTTGCCAAATTATTGAGAGAAACAAGAGATTGAATGGTTTTGCTTGAATAGGCTGAATGAGTTTTCACTGACAGGAACCTACCAGGCCATCAGTCTGGCTTGAACCAGAACTGTCCCTGGAAATCCGATTCTGAACCGTACTGAAGCTGGAAAGTTTCGGGCTATTTCTGGTTCCAATATTTGGAACCGAAACTGGCCAGAAATGGTGGAACTGATTGAAATTGTGCTGGTTCCGGTGAAATAGAACGGTGAAAAAAAAAAAAAAAAAAAAAAAAGTGAAATAGAACGGAAAAAAAAAAAAAAAAAAAAACAAGAAGCTAAAAGCTAAAAAAAGCTCATATTCAAGCCGGGATTGAAATTGCCAGCCCCAGGCTTGTTTCAGTTTGAGCATTTGAGGCGTGGACCGGCGGTTCACTGAAGTGGGCCTAAACCTACATGAAAATGTGAGAGTTTGGTACTATAATGTTTGGTTTGGTTAACTTATATAATACCGATTTAGAGGAGGGTAATTTATCCTAATTTTGCTAAACAAGCAAGAGAAAAGTTTATTAAGATAATAAGTTATAGCATAATGAGAATTCCCTAACTTCCTAACAAACTACATGACAAATCTATCTTAAAAAAAAATTATTTTATAGACTAACAAAAAATTTGCAATGAAATTTAACAAAAGAACTAACTAAATTGGAATATTTACAAGTCCATACAACACTCATTTGATTAAATCAGGACTCAAAATTTAATATGAACTCAATAAAATCTTAATTTTCATGCTCTCATTTGGCTTAAACATATTTAGTCTCAGACTCGATTCAATCTCGTCGAAAATTTTAAAACTTATTTATTAATATTAAATAAAGTTTCAATAAACTTATTCTAAAAAAAAGTTTGTATAAACTCAATTTTTAGTTTACAATTAATATATTATTTATTCAATAAATACATAGAAAATGATAAATATTTAAAATTTAAACATGTTATTAGATTTCCAAATTAATCAAATTAAATTATTTACATTATTTAAATTTGTCTCTATTTATTGCATGAGTTATTGAATTATAATTCCAAATCAATAAACTCAAGCCGAGTTGAATATTTTTTTACAAATGATTCAACTCGTTTTAATTATAAAATCTTAAATAGTAGATTATTTAGATATCAATTGAAGTTAAGACAGGTAAAATATAATAGAAAATAAAATAACTAAAAAAAATTAATAACGGAATGCTATTATTTTAAACGTAAGGAAGGAGGAATAACACTTTTTTTTAATTCTCTTAAAATTAATGGAAAAATTGGAAAAAAATTATAAGGGAAAATAATTTTATTTTTCTCAAAATACAATCAACTAATTTTTTTTTTTAAATTTTATTTTCCCTGTTATTTTCACCTGGTAGCTAGTTGAGTTGAAAAACAAAAAAACAAGGAACCAACTCCTGTTTTCTACAATCATTGTCCTCCAAAGCCCAGCCAACAACCTAACAAAGGTTTTTCCAGCTTTTGCCTTAATTGCGCCTCTCTCTCTCTCTCCCTCTATGATCTTCTAACTGAAAACCCTAATTGGGCAGTAAAAATCAACATCAATCACTTATGGAGGACACAGAAGGAGGTCTTAGCTTCGATTTCGAAGGAGGCCTTGACTCCGGTCCCACCAATCCCACTGCCTCCTTGCCCGCCATCCCTTCCGACAACACTGCCGCAGCCGCTGCCACTAACAATAACTCCGTCGTCTCTACTGTCTCTTCTACTGACCCAGCCGCAGCCGGCGCCAACCAGCCTGGGCGGCGGAGCTTCCGGCAAACTGTTTGTCGGCATTGGCTGCGTAGCCTTTGCATGAAAGGCGATGCCTGTGGTTTCCTTCACCAATACGATAAGTCTCGAATGCCTGTTTGCAGGTTCTTTAGGCTTTACGGAGAGTGCCGAGAGCAGGATTGCGTGTATAAGCATACCAATGAGGATATTAAGGAGTGCAATATGTATGTTTCATACCAACTTTTATGTTATTGCATTGCGTATTAGATTAATTATTTGTTGATGGATTTGCTATTAGCGATCAAATCTGATATATGCTTCTTGATGCAAAGTTCTTATTTGCTGTAATAGCTGTTTAATTAGGTTTCTAGGATCATTCATTGGCTTTTATGGCAGAATTTCTGATCATGCTATCATTGTTTTTTCACCTGCAATTCTTTGCTTGATGTTAGTATTATTGTTTTTCATATATTTTTGCTTATTTGTCTTTTAAGAAAGGTTAAAATCATAAGAGCCATAAAGTAGTTTGCTTTTCCTCTAATGTTGATAGAATGCCTACTGGAACATAGGAATTCCGTTTGTGGAATGCCTGCCATCATTACTCAAGTAAGAGCCTTTAGTGAGTATCTCAGCTAAGAGAATACTTTGATTGCAGGTACAAGCTAGGGTTTTGTCCAAACGGTCCTGACTGTCGGTATAGGCATGCAAAGTTGCCTGGACCTCCACCTCCTGTAGAAGAAGTCCTTCAGAAGATTCAGCAATTGAATTCTCACAATTATGGATCCTCTAACAAATTTTTTCAACAGAGGGGTGCTGGTTTTCAGCAACATACAGAAAAATCTCAATTTTCACAAGGTCCCAACAATATGGGTCAGGTTGTAACAGGAAAACCCTCAGGACCAGAGTCTGTTAATGTGCAGCAGCCTCAGCAGCAGCAGCAACAGCAGCAGCAGCAGCAGCAACAGCAGCTGCAGCAACAGCAGCAGCAACATCAACAACAACAACAACAAGGGCAACAGTCTCAACAGCAAGCCCCTCAGGCCCAAACACAAAATCTTCCAAATGGTCAGCCCATTCAAGCAAGCAGAATTGCGATGCCTTTGCCTCAAGGAATATCTAGGTGTGTTCAGAGTCCTAAGGTCTTTAATTGGGTTATGTAAATCAGTTCTTGTATTGTTTCGATATTGTTGTTAAAGCTATAGTGACAATGGTGAATGCTTAATGAGGATTTTTTTTTGTATTTAGTTTGTTATCATCTAATAAAAGCCTGTCATTACCTCAAATACAAGAGGCAGCAGAACCTTTTTTCCTCTTCTTTTTCTCTATTTTGTTTTTGAAGTTTAGCATATTTTATGGAGTTTGGATGTGATATGCTTCTTTAAACTTCCCAAAACTTTATTTTAGAAATAATTAATGCTTTTTTCTTGAATCTTTCTGATGTCAAAGTTAAATGTCTCTAGCTGCAGTCTCGGAGGCTTTAAACCTCAATTTATTTCCACATGGGATAGTGGCATCTTTGCTTGATGTCACTTTTCTCCCGGGGAGTGCATCATCCACAAATGGTTGTTGTTCAATTGACAACACTCTTGGCCAGTTTTTCCTCATTAGTTTTGTTATACTGAACATAGTCATGGTCTTAAACTATTTCCAAATCTCAATTTAAAACCATTTAATTGGTTAATTTTTTTTAAATAGATGTACATATTAGGATGCTTATGCCTTTTGGAACTACTGTTTTTGATTATTTTTAAGTGTTTATTGTTCAAATTTTGAAGATTTGCCTTCATTATTGTGTAGAGAGGACAAAAGATTTTGCATAGTTTTTCTTTTTCTCTTTTATGTACTATCTTGTGTTCATTTAACTCTGAATTAAGTTCTTTTGCAGCCTTTTACTTAATTAATTTATGTCTTGAAAGATGGTAAACCCTATATAATATTTTTGTCTCACAACAGAGACAAAGCTTTTTAATTTCATAATCCTTTTTCTTTCGAATATTTGCTATTGGAATGCCTTAATGCAATGTAATGTTCATGTAGGCTGTGTGTTCGCTGAAATTATTGGCCTTTAATGTGTGAGGTAACTCGCTGATATTTGAAATTAAGCTGAATGTATGGGGGTTTCTTTTTCTTCATTACTATTTTTACTGTTTTCTTTGTGTAATTTTAGATTAAAACTTATCTAATTTTTTATCATGAGAACTCTTAGAAAGAATATGAAAAATACATGTCGCATTTTGTTTGGTTGATGTGCATATTAATTAACTGATAGTGCTTATAGAACTATTTGCTATATTTATAATGCCAGTACATTTGGTAGCATGCACTCCCTTCTGTTAGGGATTGCAGCTAGATTCTAAAGAAAGAAGAAAGTCATCACAAATAATTTTTGTTTCCATTTAAAAGCTTATAGTTCTTGGAGAGGAATTTGATGAATGCTTTCTAATGATATTTCAAATGGGTTTATGCTAAGTGCAGGGTTGAAGGATCCAATTCTCAAAGTCCTGCTGAATTGTGGTCATTTTTCTGAGATAAATATGTAGGTCATACATATCTCAGTGTGTATGTGCATTGCATTTTGGGTTGGGTGGACAGGGTGGCAGGATAGTCTTTACTCAGGTTGTCATGTGTATGGATATCAGGTCCCTTGTCAGTTGCAGTGTGTAAATTTTATGATTGCCATGATCAGCACTGTATGAGAGAAGTTGGAAAATGAATGAGATTGAATGGGATTAATTCGTAGGTTTAGAGCATAGGACACAATGCTATATTGAATTAAGAATGCTAAACATACAAGTTGCTTAATACCTGGAAGATAATTGATCTTTAAGTGCTGAGAGGATTTGGGGTCTTGTGTGGAAAGAAAATCATGAAGACACTGATACAAGATAGAGACTGCCTGTTTTCTTGAGGATAGTTACTTTTAGGCCTGTGTTAAATTTTTTCTTTTAGAACTTGAAATCAGATTACCATAATGAGACTATTTCAGTCAATATTTCTGGAATAATATTTGCAAATATAATAGGACAGAAATGAAAAAAGATTGGGATTAGGAGTTGGTACTCTTTCACCATGCATGAAACCTATTGGATCTAATTATAGTAGATCTAGCTAGTCTAGTCTTTGTTAATGGGTATGCTTTGTGCTCTGAAACTGGAATCAAATATCCTTTCCTTTCCCCTGTCATCTGATGATTCATAATATTATTTTTACTCCTTCAAATCATATGGGACTATGATACTGGCTATTCCTAGAGGAAGAGGGGCACTTGTAACTGATTTTCTTTCTGAGGAGCTTGGGATGGTGGTTAGGATTGACCTTGAATCTTGTGGAGCTGAAAGGCAGGGGAGTGTTGTGGATATTATTATATTCCATTGTGTCTCTCATGTATCTCAATCAGAGCTATTTGCTTGTGCATTGATTTTAAGAGTGTGCACGTATGTCTTCATTTGTGTACAATTTGGTTTTTGTTAATTATTAGTGTTAGAGTGAATTATAGGTCTATCCGTGTTTCCTGCCAGGGGTATGTGCTTGCCGTCTGAAATTTATTTCAAACAATGGATATTTAATTTAAAACTTAGGAAATGAAGTCAGTGCTTTTATTGGGGAAACTCTGATGACCATTTTAAGGAACATGCTTTTAAAAATTTTGGTGGTTTTTAGTCATGGTTTGAGATTTATATGCTAATTGTTGGAATTCTCATTGGATTCAGACTTCGTGTTCCCACTACTGGTTATACATCAGTCATGTGGGAAACCATTAATGGGTTAGGTCAGACTCCATGTTCCCCACATCAGCATTTCTTTGTTTCTTTTTTTTCTCCGCCCTAGGCTGATGTGCATTGAGGCATTTGAAAAATGTGACTGCACATTATTATGACAGGTTGTTGGTTATCTTGTGTAGCCATTAAAAGGTTTTCTTTCTTATGTCACTGACTTGTTTTGTACATTGATGCATACATCTTACATGTTGACTTTTACTGTATTTACACGTTTTATTTATTAATATGCTCCCAAAAAGGTTTACATAAATCTAGTACTCTAGTTCTTTTCAAGAGGAAACTCTTAACTATGTCCTGAATGTTTTCAACTTTAAAGTTTCACTGCAGTTTTAGAGTTCACCGTTGAGATTATGAACTGGCAGAGTTGGGAAAACACAGCCATTATGAAAATATTGCTGCTTGAGGACATTTAACGTTTTCACTTGATGTCCTTGCACTGGTCTGTAGGATTTTAGGTGGTTCTGTTCTTAGGGTTCTTTTGGTTGATATGTAGAGCTTCTATTTAGCTTTTATCCCCAGTGGATGCTAATATATGAATTCATAATTTTGATTTTCTACAACATTTTTCATATTAGTGTTGTTCGTCTTCTCAACTATTGATTACTTCTAATCAACTTTCCTGCATTCTTTCACTTCCCTCAAGTGCCTGCTTTTCAATTAGGTTCAAAAAAACTTCTTTTAGTAATGATTCAAATTACTTATTATGCTTTCATATATATGGAATCTTAGGTATTTTATTGTTAAAAGTTGCAACCGCGAAAATTTGGAATTGTCTGTACAACAAGGAGTTTGGGCAACTCAAAGGAGCAATGAAGCTAAATTGAATGAAGCTTTTGACTCTGCTGAAAATGTGATTTTAATTTTCTCAGTTAATCGGACTCGACATTTCCAGGTAAGTTTAAGATCTCACATCCTGTAGTTCGCTTTGTGGTCTTCTTAACTTATCCAATATATAATCTGTTAGGATTGATTTTGATGAGTAGCTTCCAATTAGCTTTGCTTGGCTTCTCAACTCCAGCAATTTGATCCCAATTACCCTTGTTTGCTTTATCTGAGGTATTAAACCTGAAATCATCTGTGGGTTGTAGGGATGTGCAAAGATGACATCCAAAATTGGTGCATCTGTTGGTGGGGGAAATTGGAAATATGCTCATGGAACTGCACATTATGGACGGAATTTCTCAGTCAAATGGTTGAAGGTACATCTATGGTATTTTTATTATTGCCCTGATGCTTTGAGACTTTTTCTGCTTTGACTGATTACTGATAAATTTTTATTGTCAAAAATGATTAATATGTCTATCCCAATATCAGAGGTCAATGATGATGAATAAACAGCCAATAGTCTTATACTTTTAGTTTGAGATTAGATTCAGGTTTTAGGACTGGGACATGGCAGCTTTACCATAATGATGGTTTTGCATATTAGATTTATTTTTATGTGGCTGGAGCACTCAGGGTCCATAGTCCGTCCACTCTAAACTAAAGCCAAGCTAAGCCAATGTCCCTCTTTCCTTTCTCAGCCGTCTTCAGCCTCGAATAGCACTACTTAGTGACTAGGAACGGAGAGCCTGTTGCACACAAGTTCTGATAAAATAGGCAATTGGCGCGCCCTTGTATAGTGCAAGACCAAAAACCTGAATTTTATGTCAATTTTCAAAAATAGCTACTTTGCCCTACACATTGTAATGGTTTTGCACATTGGATGCTTTTTGTGACTGGGTCAGTCTTAAGTTTTATAGGATCATCATAAAGCTTGTTGAGAAGCTCGGCATGTTACTTTTTTGTGATCTCCTTCTATAGTTCAGATGTAATCCGCAGCTAATGGATTTTTTTTTTTTTTTTTTTTGTTTTTTTTTTTTTTTTTTTTTATGCAGTTTATGCAGATTATCATTCCCATAAAACTCGCATTTGAGGAAACCCATACAATGAGAACTTACCGGCTGAAGGTACTTGGTCCTACAGAGCTCAATTATTTGCATCTTTTGTTAATGTTATGATTTCGCGTAGCTTCTCTTCTCTATCTGGGCTCGCTTTCTTTGTTTATTCTTCATCTTCTGTTTCCAATCCTTTTCCCTTCATCGCTTCCTTGCTCTTCTAATTCAACACACAGTAAGGTTTTCAGAGACAGCTTGAAAAATTTTCCATTGATATTATAGATATAGCAATCACATACCGCCCCCCCCCCCCCCCAACACCAAAAAGGGTTAGAGTGGTTTCTTTTAGTGATATATGTTTATGCAGCTTTCATTTTCACTTCTCAATGCTAACCTATGCCTGATGCAAGACCCTCTAAGGGAACTTTATATGGATTTACATTAACAATTTATGGGCAGTGATCTATGTTTGCAGCTTGATTTCCACTTTTTAATTGGCGCTTACCTGTGCAGATACTAAGCAAACTTCTATTGGGACCCAAAAAGGTTAGAGTGGTTTCTTTTAGTGATATATGTTATGCAGCTTCATTTTCACTTCTCAATGGCTACCTGATCACTGATGCAGACTCTAAGGGAACTTTATATGGATTTACATTAACAATTTTGGCAAGTGATCTATGTTATGCAGCTTGATTTTCACTTTTTATTGGCTACCTGATGCAGATACTAAGCAAACTTCATATGGGATTTACATTAACAATTTTGGAAAATTACCAGTCACAATGCAGAAGCACGGATTGCTTTATTGAGCAGGGATATTTCAATAATTTTATGGCCAATTGCAAAAGTTTACTAGCTAGTAGACAAATAAAAGAGGAATTTTGGTTTAGAAGTCCAACAACTTGAAGCTTTAGGGTTAACTTGAATCTGGAAGCACCAGAACTTGGAACCTTTCTTATTTAGTTTTTTAGTGTGAAGATATAACACATCTTCACACAATTTGCACTCATCTTTGGGCCACAAAATTTCTTTATTAAGACTTCTTAGCTGTGCTACATAACTACCATTTAAGCACGCGTTTTTAGTCATCATAACTGTTCTGCTTGTGGTAAATTTCTAATTTGATGCTATAGCTAGTCAATACTTGATATCAACTCCATCTTATTTTGAAATTGTTATTGTACTTCATATGATTGCAGATCAGCAGAGATTGTCAAGAGTTAGAGCCCTCAGTTGGTGAGCAGTTAGCTTCATTACTTTATCTTGAGCCAGATAGTGAACTCATGGTAAGCTTCTTTTACCATTTAGAAAGGGAAATAGAGTGAGATCAATTAGAATAGGTTAGAGAAAATAAAGAACAAATCAAGAAGACGGTGGAAAGCTGACGAACATAGGTCTTTCTGTTGGGAAGCAATTACTAAAATTTCATATTCTGGTTTAGTTTTGGGCTAATCACCTTGGTCCTTGACCGATAATTTTTATTGTCATTTGCCGTCTCAACTTCACCTTATCATTTTAATTGTAGCGACCCTTAGGGTATTATGTGCACCCAGTTTAATATTTTAAAGAAATATATTTACGAAATCATTAATATACACCTAATAAAAATTGAGAGTGGTGCAGTAGTCAATTTCTGTAATGTTCATGTGTGTGTAATATTAGGGCAGGGGGGATTGAACCTGGTTCGTTAACCAAGTTACATATGCAAGCTAAGCCCTACATTATGTCTATTATTGGAACTAGGGATTGCATGCGATCTTAAATTATCTATTTGGAACCAATGATTTCATCTCATTTTATGACCTAACCTAATCTGTTAATGTGTCCCAATCTGTTATCCGATATTACCGTTTTGCACAAACTTGATGACTTGTGAATAACTTTTTAAAGTTTCGTGTTGCATGCATATTCTTGGAGAGGCCACTATTGAAGCTAACCTTCTGAAATTTAATATTCTGGTAAGTGCCTCTAATCTAGTCGCCATTAGAAACAGAAAGAATCACATTTGTTTGGTGGTAGGAAGCTAGTAGTTCATTTGGGGAGGTCAAAGGGTGGAAGGTAAGTGGAGGTTAACCTCTTAACAAATTTTTTCATGATGTAAATGAGAGCTAAAGGAGATTAGATATTTACATCCATGAATCTCCAAATGCCAAATTTTCTTGACCCCTAAATCAGGAGTTAGAGTGTCTAATATAAAGATTTTAAATAGTTTCATATCAATTGACCTTCTATTCCTTTTAAAACTTCCAAACAATATAAGGTTAATTAACTCCTATTTACATTTCTTTTCTATGCCTCCATTAACTTTTTATTCCTTTATCTTAAAATATTCTGCAATTTTTTTGGCAATGCAGCATGCTGATATTTTTTTGATGATCATGTGAATGAATAAACCTTGTTATTCTATGAAATGGTGTAGCATGCATTGTTGTATCAGCATAACAGAAGGCAAAAGTGGAAAAAAATAGTTTAGTGTATTTAGAAAATAAGAGAATATTTTTTAAAAAAATAATTGATAAATATGTGTCTCGTGTGTGATTGTTATTTACAGAGACTTGCATAGTAGTGTTTGCAGTTGAAAAATGTATTTTGTGTGGTTTGGTTATCACAGTTTGTGTTTAGCATTATACTGATTGGTATGTAAAATGTTCAAGAGTAGTAATATGTTAGAATTTTTTTCTGTTCATCTTTTTATTTATTTTTCTTTACAAATATCATGAATTCCATGAAAATCTCAAATTAGAAACCAGTTGTCTGTTTAAGACTTACTGACCTTTTACAGTAGCTTTTTATTTACGTGGAATTTAGAATTTGTGGCTTGTGGGTGGGATGTTGGGGGGCCTTTGTTTAGTTCAGCAGCCAAATACACTACTTTTGGCTACACTAATTAGTAACTACTGAGATTGATAGAACCAGTGTAATTGAGTATTTAGGTATTGCAAGGTATTATCGCATTGCACGATTGCTTGCAGCCTTGCACCTCCATGAATCATTTGATCATCAGAGCTGAATGAATCTGATTGCTGGTTACTCATCTCCTTGGATACAGGCAGTCTCAGTTGCAGCAGAAGCAAAAAGAGAAGAGGAAAAAGCTAAGGGATTGAATCCAGACAATGGAGGGGAGAACCCAGATATTGTTCCATTTGAAGACAATGAAGAAGAAGAAGAGGAAGAAAGCGACGAAGAGGAGGAGAGCTTTGGCCAGGCTCTTGGGCCAGCAGGTCAAGGGCGAGGCAGAGGCAGGGGAATCATGTGGCCTCACATGCCACTGGCCCGTGGAGCTAGACCCATGCCTGGGATGCGAGGCTTTCCCCCAATGGTGATGGGTGCTGACGGGTTTTCTTACGGACCAGTGGCACCTGATGGTTTTGGGATGCCTGATCTTTTTGGTGTAGCGCCTCGTGGTTTTACTCCATATGGTCCAAGGTTTTCTGGTGACTTTACAGGCCCTGCATCTGGCATGATGTTTCCTGGGCGACCTTCCCAACCTGGGGTTTTTCCAGCTGGTGGATTTGGCATGATGATGGGTCCGGGACGTGCTCCTTTTGTTGGAGGGATGGGCCCCACTACTACAAATCCACTTCGAGGCAGTTGGCCACCAGGGGGTATGCCATTTCCACCAATACCTAATCCATCTACTCAAAACACCATCAGACCTGTTAAAAGAGATCAGCGGACAACTACTAATGATCGGAATGACAGATATAGTGCAGGATCAGAACAAGGCAGGGGTACAGCTGGCGGACAGGAAGATGATGGACAGTTCCAGCATGAAGGAATAAAGGCTTCCCATGAAGATCAATTTGGTGCTGGAAACAGCTTTCGAAATGACGACAGTGAAAGTGAGGATGAGGCACCAAGGCGATCGAGGCATGGGGAAGGGAAGAAGAAGCGACGAGGCTCAGAAGGAGATGCAACTCCAGGTTCTGATCACTAACAGTATTACTAGCAGAGCTTAAGGGTGGTGAAGGATAACTAATTTGCAGTTCCAAATTATAGGCACATTAATTTAAAACGGTCTCATCCAGTATGGCCTATTGAGCGTTTTCAGTTTTTTCTTTGCTTTGTTTTTTCCCCAAATTTTTTCTTGAGGGGTTAACATGTCAAAAATTATGTAGCCAAATTTGTGTATATTTGTATCTTCAAATGAATGTAAGGTTGGTTATTAATGCGATCTAAGTTTTGATGGGCAAGCCTTATCAATTTTCCAGTTCTATGTCCGATTGTTTGACTCCTCTTTTAATTCAGGTGATTCTTTAGTCTCCATATTATGTTGTATTGGGATCATTTTCTTACTCTATTTTCGTTGGGGAGTATGAACATATGATACCTAACAAAATTGAAATAAATTATAATAAAAAAAAAGTTAACACATCATAGATTGTACACTATGTTATTGTAATAATAAAAAATGTTAATGTGTACTAGGATGCTTCATAAGTCATACCATTTTATTTACAACCAAAAAAAAATAGACTTTATTTAAAATTCATACCTACATTTTAATGCATGATCTACAATTCAAACTCTGGCAGCAGCCATTTTCAACGTACCAAAACAGGAAAGCAAAGAGTTAAACCTTGTTTACTTTCTGATTAGCTAGAGTAAGAAATACAAAGTCACTTGTTTATGCATCGTTTATGATTAGTACTAATCATCTTCTAATGCCACAAAATAAGGAAAAGGCTCTACGAAAAACCCAACCTTTTATTATCAAATGGCAAGCTGGAAAATTAAAATTAAAAGTAAAAAACAAAAAAAAAAAAAAAATGCAAAATCATCACGTACTATGAGCAAGCTGCAAGCTCCACAAAGTGTTAGATAGGTCAACAGAAAGAACAAAAGATTTCTATAATCAACACTTTTGACATTTCATCTGAAAAGTAAAGAGGACAAACGTATGATATAAACAGGTTCTCATGCTAAAGAAATCCAAGTACCCAGGTAACAATTCCAGTTTCTAAATCAACTACTCGAGGAGAAGCTAGAAAGCTAAAAATTAATAAAAGCATTAAATTGCCAGATTTGAAAAACAAAAAGAGGGAGTAAAACAAGACACTATTCAACTTCTTATCACTGGATCGAAAGAGAGAGAGAAATAGAGTGCTCAAATTTTCTGCAGGCAGGGAAAAAGAATCAACCCTACTAAACAACAGTGGCGCATTGATGATGTACAGAAGGCTCTAAAATACAGTCACCTAGTCAACTGACGGTGCGCTCAAGAATTCCATCTTCCCACCTGACCAGATCAATCTTGCAGAGGATTAGTTAGCCCAATTACTGATTCTCAAGAATTTACACTAGTTCTCTGCTGGCATAACCAACTCTTTGTCTTCACATTTGCTGGCCTCAGCAGTTGCTTCAGCCACTACAGTTGTCTTCACATCAACAGAAGCACTGAAGTCGGAATTTGGATTTTCATTAACAGATTCTGACAATGCAGAAATATCGGGAGTAGGGTTCTCTTTTGTTGCATTTGGCAATTCTCCAGTAGCATCTTTGTCATTTGCTAATGCATCTGAGGAAGATACAGGTTCAGCAGAACCAGGTTGATCATCACCACCTTGATTCTCTGTATCCACTTGAAGCTCACCATTTGGGAGAGATACTTCTGAAATGGATGGATCACTGGAATCTGGTGTCTCCCTCCATTCAACCCATACAGGAGGTTTATCATTTGTGCTATTTTCTTTTAAATCCTCGGACAAATTGTTGGCAGAAATTTCTTCTAAAGTCGGTTCAGGCACTGGAGAAGAAGATGCAGTGTCATTTAAGTCATCATCTTCACCAACCACACCATCATCATTGCCCACACCATTAACAACACCGGTTTCTTCATTATTAGGTGAAGGAGAGGCAAGAGCGCCGGCAGACCGCTCATTGGCAACTCTGTCATCTTCAAAAGCAAACCAGTTGGAATTTGTAAACAGGGAGCCACTGCAGACATCAAAGATAGCACAAGCAATAAGTATAAGTGAAATGCTGCATCCAATCACCAACATCAATATTCTGCATGTAAATTCAGTAGCTTCCCATTTTACAACAGGGTGAGCCAACATACAAATAAAATTCACAAAGTGCAACATCAAATTTCTAACAAAACATCATGTAGAAAGGAATGACAAGGCAGCTAACCTTTCCTGGTCGTCACCCAAGCGCAGAGAAGAAATAACAACTTCAGCGGATTCATCATCAAAGTAGACATCCTGCCAAGTACCTCAGTGAGAAAACTTATCATCTTATACATGTTAATCTATTCCTGCAACAGCATAGATTAAGGGCAAATGTGATATTACAGGCACAGACATCAAATTTTCTAAGACAGTATTTTTTTTTTTCGTTTTTTTCTTTTCCTTGGGGCACAAGAAAATGGCCTTAGTTAGCCCAAAGCCTGAGAGATGAAGGGTACAATGAGCCATCTACAGAAGATACTGCAGATGACCACATGAGGCATGGTTGAATTAATGTAGTGCCCGAGAAAAAACAAAGACAACACAACTGCTATTTGTGCACCCTATAGCTAGATGAGGAGGATAAAACAAAGGCCTCATCCAAATGGTTTTGAACTAGTCCCTAGCCTCATGATAAATTCTCCTATTCATGCCATTTGAACATCTTTAGAAAGTGAATATTACCTCATCATCTCGTTCAAGTGTTCCATGCTCCTGCAATTAATGAATAATCAATAATGAAGTATTAAAATGGGGAAGAAAACTGCTCAAGTATCCATACACCCATGTAGTTAATAGAAAGCTTGATTCTAAATGGAGCCCAATCAAAAGGAAGGACTTTGTACAAAATCACAACTAGTTTGGCATTGCAAATTAGTTAACTTATTTGTTTGTGCCTTCAACATGAGGATACATGAATTTTTTCAAAGTGGCTACGATACATTTTCACTGTACTCCAGCTAACCCATTTTACTGTGGTCTAATTTACAGGAGGTCGCTACAACTTCAAGAGATAAATGTTAATAGTGGCTCCAAAAACCAACTCAGAACTTTTATTTGACCTAATTACGACAACTTGTATTCTGCAGCCATTCCTAGCTCAATTTCTGACAGGCATGCAAGCCTGTACACACGTGCAAGTTAAAGATCTAGAGTGTCGATTATGAAATCATCTCAGAAGAATTCTAGCATCCTAGGTAGAAACTATTATCTCATACCATTTTTGTTCCAGTTTTTTTTTTTTTTTTCCTTTTTTAGCTTCATTTCTGACAGGCATGCAAGCCTGTACAACAACGTGGCAAGTTAAAGATCTAGAGTTGGTCCGATTTATGAAATCATCTCAGAAGAATTCCATAGCATCCTAGGTAGAAACTATTATCCTCATAACCATTTTTGTTCAGTTTTTTTTTTTTTTTTTTTTTTCCTTTTTTTGAAGTGTTCCCCCCCCCCTTTTTTTTGAGTTGGTGTGGGCGTTGACAAACACCTTTTGAACTCTCTTTCCACAAATCTAGCCTTTTTAAATGAACGTCCCCCCCCCCCCCCCCTTTTTTTTGAGTGTGTGCGTGACAAACACCTTTTGAACTCTCTCCACAATCTAGCCTTTTAAAATGAACGTGCAAAATTACCAACCATAGCTCATTCTCTTATTGGTTCCCATGTCCCCAAACTCCAGCTCTCTATTCTCTCTCTAAACATGTCTCTACGTAAAGAATATTAAAGTCATGTTTATCTCTTTATCGTCATCTACTGATCATTTCTTTTTGGGTTTGCCACAGATAAGACATCATTTTCTTTCAAAACTCCCCCATCTTTCTTTAAACCCTAAAACAATAATAATCATGTTGATTTCTCCATTGGGAAGATTCCCGTCACTTCGTTCATCATCTTGTCTCTCCGATTCTCTCCTTAGTCTACATCTTCTTTTGCTCTTATACGTGATATAGCTTTAGTTCATAGATGAATCGGATCATGTCCCACAGTTTTTGTATGCAAATGTCCCGTGGTTTTGGATATGGAACCTGAGGAGGTTGGCAAATCTGGTAACTAAGGTTCTTAATTGTTACACAGTCTCACATGATTAAGCAATTGGACTCTATTTTGATCCAGAGCTTGAAAACTAGGTCTTTACAGCCTTGGATGTGCTAGCTAAACGTCAAAATCAGCACCCAACCCATCACAAATAATCATTGTTCTAAGTTACAAAATTTAGTCGAGTAAATCTACCTTCTTTCCACTTCCATAATGCCCCTATTCACAAAATTATTGGCTCATAAACTAAAACTTAAAAAAAATTGTAATTGGAAAACAAAAATGTAACTGGAATTAAAATGTTCTAAACTGTACCTCATCAATCTCATCATGGCCATAGATGCCATATCGAAATGCCTGGCTCAAATTATTTGCTAGGGCTGCAACATCATAATCTCTGTCTTGGTAATCATCATCATCACTATCTCTCCGGTCTTGTAGAGCCGTTGGCCTCCTGTTACAATATTTTTTTCCTACAATAAGTTACCATATACTTTGAAAAGCCAAACCAATTACATAAAGTGTATCAAAGGAAGACCAATATATTTAAAGAATGAATACCATTGCAACAAAATTGGGAACCATCACTTAAGACGCACAAGAAAGTATGAAAACTTGGCAGGCCAGGACATCTGTAGATTTATTAATCAAATGGAGTTCATCTACCTTTTGCAATGCCTCTAAAATTGCCAAAAGTAATTTCAGAAAAGCAAGGCATTGTTAAAGATAGTTCTTTGCCCTTTAACTAACGTCAGAAGATCAAAGATTAACTCATTCCTGAGATATTCTCTCGGACCAACATCTCATAGAGCTATATATAGAAACAAGCAGCAAGCAAGATATTTATATACATCAAAGGATCAAAACCATCACTTAAGACGCATGACAAGAGGGAAGTAAGAAAAACTTCCAGGACCACACACACTTACACATTAACTGAGACAACGGAGAGTGATATATGTTAAAAAATATTGAAAGAAGGCTACTAAGTGAAACTATATTTTTCTCCTAATTTTTTCCCCTTGAAAAATGAGGATATGGGGGTAAACAAGTAATATTTTTGCATTTCTCTTCACCTTCCAATTTGAGGAAAAAGTGTATTCTGGACCTCAGTGCTTAAATCCTCCACCTTTTCTTCTCTTAGGGACAAGAAAAGGGTTAATTCTATTTCCCTCTATCTCTCACTTTCAACAATCCAAACATAGACTACTCTAATCTCAAGCTTCGTAAAAAATGCCTTCCTCTTGTCAATTTTTATCGTATGACAGTAGTCCTTCAAATCTATTATAGAATATTTTTCTTTTGCCCTTCTCAGCTCAAGTAGTACATGGAGGAATATCAGGAGGCACAAATTAGAAAATAGATCTGTCTGCAAGGAACTGTCTGGATATTCCAAGTTGGTAAGATCATTTATATTAGATAGAATAAAAGGGTCATTTTTTTTCTGTTAAAATAACACACCTTGTTTAACATGTAATCTTTTCATCTACTGTACAGAGGCACTTAAATACTTCACAAAGTTCAAAAAGCAAATGTCCACTGTGACTAAAACCAAAATGAAAGCATATGCATAAACATGGTTATCATAATAACACCGATGCTGTTTAAATAATAATAATAATAATAATAATAATAATAATAATCAGTTACCAACTAAAGATATTAAGGATTTTCCCGACTTCATTTAATTTAACCTAGGTGGAATCAGTTTTTTTTTTATCATAATAACAGCAATGCTGTTTAAGTAATAATAAAAAAAGTAGTCACCAACTAAAGCTATTAGGATTTTGCTGACTTTCATTTAATTTAACCTAGGTAGCATTATTTCTTTTTTCACCATGGTTCCTTTTCCTTCTGTTTATGTATGTTTGCTATGGGGTGGGGAAGTTTAGTCGTTGGGGTCACCAAGCAAAAGATGCAATTGCAACGGTTCCTGAAAATGAGGAAAAAAACCCACCCGCAGGCCCACTGATAGACGTTTTCCACCGCATTACGCTTTGTTAACACATTTGCATGCCAATCAGACCATTCATGCTTTTCCTGCCAAAAGAAAATCATACTAAACTACTTTATAAGGTATAGAACAAGCACTAACATTACCATTTTATGTCCAATGCACGCATGTTGAATATTAAATTTAAAACTACTGAGAGGATGTTTATCCATTCCCAAGAAAAGTAAAATTTGACACAAACTAAAACTAAATCAAGTAAAACCAGATTCACAACTAGATGCAGAGGTAAATGAATACTTGGACAAAAGAAAATAGCATAAGCTTGATGTTGCAATCTATCTCTGACTTAAGCAGGCTATGAGTCAAAAATTCAATTACTGAATTTGATTGTCAATTTTGCAAGGTTCTTCATGCATAATTCAATGTATCAGTTTAGCAACTCCAAGAAGCTGGCATATTGTTACAGTATCAGGGTTCTTCACACATAATTTTGCTAGTTATAGAATAGGATAAACCTGCAAGCATGCCAGAATATCACCATTGTTATTTCCCAACTGAATAATTTTGTTGGATATACGCGTCAAGTGTCCAATATTGCCTATCCTTGGCGGCGGCCTACCATCAGCAGGAACTGTAGGCTGCAGAAGAATGAACAAACATAATGTTTTAAGTACCAATGCAATATCCAAAATGCTGAACATAACACCTTAAATGACTTCGAAAACCCCAAATATATTCTATGCAATACCTTAGGGAGGCAGTGGCATAATTTTAAAAGGATTGTAGATTACCTTGCCTGGCTCAGCCATCAATGTGGAATTTTTCTCGGTATCAAGTATTTTGCCAACAAGATTACATTCACGGAGAAGATGTCCAATAAGAATAGCATTCTTGCTCTCCAAGCATGAAAATATTATGTTCTCTACATGGTGATGCAAAAAATTATTGTACGGATACCTACAGTCACACAAAGCCGATGAATAAAACCTGGGATCTAATTAATCATCCAACATCAAGAATTCTAAAACTCACTCAAAAAACAAGTCTAAAATCCTTTGGACTGCTCCAAGTCGAATCAATTCCTTCTCAGCAGCTTCGCTTCCAACAGTCAGTAAGACTGAAATAAATTCCACAGTCTGGAAAGATAAATCAAGTTGAGCCTTAGTCAGCATTTAATAGACTCAGTTCAAAACAAATCCATGGACAACTCAATATAATGTTTTGCCAATAGAATCACTGGCTCAGCCATATAAATGCAAACATCAACCAAAGTCAACAGTCAACACAAATTGCAGCAAACAAAAGAACACATAATCCAATACTTCTGATAAGTAGAAAGTTCATTTGAGGAATAAATAATATTACCTTCAAACGATGCTTTCCGAGAGGTGGCTGCAGTTTACCATATGTGGTCAACAAGGCATTTTCTGTAGATGAGACATCCAAAAGCTTCAGCAGATTACCTGCTCAAGGAAACACTGCATATTTTACCATATCTTGCTTTGGGAAATGAATTCATGACTCTCTGTGCCCCCTTTTTTTTTTTTTTTTTTTTTTTTTTTGATTACCTGCTCAAGAACAGCTGCATATTTTACCATATCTTGCTTTGGGAAAATGAAAATTCATCGACTCTTGTGCCCCCTTTTTTTTTTTTTTTTTTTTTTTTTGTTTTTTTTTTTTTTTTTTTTTTTTTTGTTTGAGAGTCCCCATACTTCAGTGTTTATGATAATTTTAAATATCAAGCTGATTAATGACAAACTACCACATTAAATAAGCTTGTCCTAGCCTTTTGAGCAGTCCTTGCAGGATTAAATCTCAAGCTGATTAGTGACAGATACCACATTAAATAAAGCTTGTCCTAGGCTTTTGGGCATTCCTTGCAGGATTACACTGATAGATAATAGGAATTGAGAAAAGTCGCTTCCCTAATTTACAAGGTCTCGATATGATAGTAGCATAGTTGCAGGCTTCTTTTTCTTTCTTACACACAAAAAAGGTAGAAGCAGGAGGAAGAAGGGCAGTAGGGGATCTAGGTATCTTCAATTGTCTAAGGACTGGCCAACACATAAAAAATTATACTCGCCAACAACAAAAAAGAGACAACCTTACCTAAGCTCTCCAGCATGCCCTCAATTGTCTCAGGACTGGCGGTCACAGTAGACCCATGATTAATTTGGCGGCCATATGTATGATATGTCCCCAAAGTTAGCCTTTTAGGGTCTAACAAGGATATACATATGGACAATGAGTTAACAAGGACAGATTTTGGTCGTGATTCTTCCAAAGCATGACGAAACAATCTTCCAATAAAACTGGACATAGGCAAATATACAAATACCAATAATCAGATAACAAGGTAACAAAAGTAGGAAACATAAGTGCATACCACAAAAGAAAAGAGGCAAACATTACTTCGGACTGGAGATTTTAGCAGCAAGACCCGGAGGAGCAAATCGTGTTATAGCACAAAGCGTTTCGGCTGCATTAGCATGCACCTCAGGAGAATCCTTCAAAACCAGAAGTCCAAAAACATTGGTTAGACATTAATCAATCTATACAAGTAATCATTCTAAAGCATAACTTCATCCACCCACATCAACTAGCAAAGTTCAAGAAACGCCTAAATCCAGCAAGCAATGTAAAAGGAAAAAGAAAAAAACACTCGTCACTTAAAGTACTAGTACTTACAGAAGAGCTGAACTTGTCTACAATCATCTCCAGCACATCCGTTTCTTCTATCCACTGCATGGCATCCGTATAGTTGGAATACATATGTTCATCAGCACCAATAAGCCGTATTAATACCTGAAATTACAGAAGAGGTTAAGAATAACCTTTACTAGTTGTTGAACAAGCACCATAACATATTTTTGTTACTGTACATGAGAAGATATAGCCTATGAAAGGTAATCAAAAGTTCCATGTGTCAGTGTAATCTCAATAAAAAACAGTTAAAAAACCACTTGCAGCTAAGTCACAAGTATATAAAGAGCAATCTAGCACATACAGCAACTGCACATCCAATACAATCCGAAACAAAAAACTTGTAGGAAGAATTTTAAATATCAAGAGCGAAAAATAAACTAACAATCAACCTCCATGAGAGATGTAATGCCAATCAAGTCAACCAGCTGATTAAGAATTTGCCGATGAGCCTGAAAGACAACACAAAGGTAGCACATTGATTAAAGAAACATAAGCAATATTAAAAATCTAATAAGAAAACAGGGCTGCTAAACAAATCATTAGCACAATCAAAAGACATAAATCCAAAAGATATAGAAGTCAGATCTATAGCATTGTCTCAACTGCACAAAACTTAAACAAGACCAGTTGTCAACATTAAGCATATCATTTCATAAGTATATTATCATGAGAACCAAGTGGCGTAAGAAAACTGAAAGTTTACAGTTCAAGATAAACCAACTGTGTTGATTCTTTACAGCATTACATCTTCCCTTGATCAACAAACTTCCAAATTCGTTTGCTCACATCAAAATACCCAGAATTCAAATACAATGGAGTTAACCACAACAACCAGAACATAATCAAAAATAGGGCATAGACTAAAAATAAGGTTCATAGAAATAAAGCAATAGCATTTACTTCAATCATTGTCAAAATTTCAATTTTGATCAAAATGCATAATCTCAACAATTACACTTAAATAAATGCTAAAAACTTTTCAAATCTCATATACTGATAAGAATCAGAAGCCAATATCCATTATCACTAATTTTATAGAGTGACTCAGTTTATTCCTAGCCATAATCTAATGTTGAAATAAGTTGGATCATCCTATCACTACTCATTGTATCCTTATGAAATAGTAACATGTGGGCTTGATTCAGGCTGTAGATGTTCATTCAAAGTAGAGAGAATATTGTTGTCCGCGAAGAGATCTTTTAAAACAAAACAAAAAAGTAAAAGAAAAGACAACAGGAAATGGAAATAAGAGAACGAAGGGGATTAGCAGCCAACTTTGAGGTTGGTCACCCATTTCAGACTCTGTGCTTGCAAATATTGCAGCAAAGGAGATTGATGCAAGGCAAAGGAGCTGACGGGCAAAAAAAAGGGCGATGATGGACACAGGTCTAAGCAAGGAAAAGATAGAACACTACATAAACTTCATGTCAAACAAATAAAATTGCAATAGAACTATAAATCGAAGGACAAGTAAAACAAAAAAAAAAAAAAAAAAAAAAAAAAAAAAAAAAATATTGTGTGTCCGCTGAAGTAGATTCTTTTAAAACAAAAAACAAAAAAAAGTAAAAGAAAAGACAACCAGGGAGAATTGTTAGAAATAGGAGAGACGGAAAGGGGATCCAGCAAGCTCAACTTTATGAGGTTTTGGTCACCATTTCAGACTCTGTGCTTAATGCAAATAATTTGCCAGCAAAGTGATAGTTTTGATTGCAAGGCAATGATGGAGCTGACGGGCAAAAAAAGATTGAAGGCGCGATGATGTGAACAAGGATTACTAAGCAAGGAAAGGGAAGATTAGATAAACTATACATATTATAAACTTTCATTGTTACAAACAAATAAATAATTGCAATTAGAACTAATAAATCGTTTAAAGGACAAGTTTAAACAAAAAATAAAAAAAATAAAATAAATAATATATAAAAAAAATAATTAAGTGGCTGGAACAAGAAAAACCTTTTTCCTTCAACTTAAGCTTCAATAATATCATCAGGTGATTTTAAAACCCTTCTACAAAGGCTCTACACCACTTTGTTATAACCTATAGTCTCCAGATAGGTAACAATGAGGTTATATTGGGGCAATTATTATTCCTAATAACTAACTGGATTTTCAGTTAAAAAAATTTTTTCATATATTTTCTAATCTTCTCGCAGTTTCTCTAATTTTCGCATCAAAGAAATTTGTACCAATCACCAAAATATGCACTTGTGTACAAGTACAAAACAATATCTAATAAGAAAGAGTTTAAAAAAAAAAAAAAAAAAAAAAAAAAAAAAAAAAAAAAAAGGGGACAAGAAAGAACCTTCCTCACTAGCTCAAAATATCACAGGATTAACCCTTCTACAAAGGCCTACACCACTGTATAACCAGTCTCCAGAAGGGGCAATTATATTCCAAACAACTGAAGTAAAAAAAATTTTTCAATTTCTAATTCTTCTCCAGTTTCTCTTTCCACAAGAATGTACAAGTCACAATAATATGCATTTACAAGTACAAAACTATCTAATAAGAAAGAAACTTCCTTAAGTTAAATAAGGGGACAAATTACCTTAACATAATGCATCAAAGGAACCGTCTTCCGCAACAAAAGACATATGACAACCTAGCAAGTAGCAAAAAGAAATTTGGGGGCATAAAATAGCTATCACAGCTCTTCAAACAACAAAGAAAAATAACCCATATAGAATGCTTAATGATTACTTTTCTAACATTGTAATTTCCAAAAGGTTTGCCATAAGATACCTTGCTAAAATATCCAGCCAACAGTGTGCTATGTGAGTGTTTTGGTTCCAAAAATGAAAACAACAAATTCATCAACTGTAAGCACGCAGTGAATAAAAAGTTAGTGAGCAAAAGTTTACAAATGTAAATGCAGTCAAGGAGAAGGAGAAATTCCATACCTCTTCATCCTCCACCAATGTTTTGAGTATAATATCAACCTCACAAGTAAATATCTCACACGCAATGAAAGGAAACCTAAAGACAGATGCAACAACATTATAAGACATAGAACTGATCAAAATAAATATTACAGGAAGCAAAAAAATCCCGGTAACATCCAGGCATCAAAAGCTAACATGGCTAGCCATAGATACATACTTGAATGTTCGCCTCTTTTCAGCATCCTCAGGAGCTTCTACCACAATATAACGAATAAGTTGCTCAACCTGAGGTTTTTCTCGCAAACTGCAGCACAGGACAACATAGAAATAACAAAATGCAAGAATCAAAATGAAGTGAAATTGCAGAACCTGTGATATAATTTTAAAGGTTTCCTCAAAATGACTATAAGCTCAAGCATTCCTGCCATATATTCAAACAAATCAAAACTTGCCAACAGATGTCTATGCTGAACAATCAAGCCAAAGAAGACTAAACAATAAATATCACTAAAGCATCTTTGAAAACGTTTATCAAGTATATAGCGCACAATCCTAAGTTAAAACTAACAAACCCGCGAATTATGAGAGGCTAGGCACTGAGCACCGTGTCCAAGAGACAGGGAAAAAGAAATAAATAGTTGCGTATCTATCGAAATATCATATCCAGACAAAAAAAAATAATGCACTCTGGCCAATTCGTTGAGGCTGACGTAAATATCTAATACAAATTTATTTGCAGTTGAATATACCAATGAAGTCAGCAGAAAAAGTGGACAATGCAACAATACCACAGTCAAGTATATCTACATCCTTAGCTGATATATAAATCTTTTAAGGACAATTATTTCACATCAAAAGCACAATATCACAAACCACAATCCTGAAACTATGCAAGGAAAAAAAATATAATGAGAAACATGCAAAAACTATTGAAGGAATCATTCCATGTAATTTCTTCCTCTATATTTGGTAATGTTGTCTAATCACATGCAAAAGATTGTTGATGTGTAAGCATAATACATATCATCATAATTTGCATAATCAAGCACCCATAGCAATTTTCTATGTTAACCAAACTAATCTCAACTAAGCTTTAATCTCGAATTAATTGAAGGCGAATGTATTGATACAGTAAATTATGTATTTGTCAAAAAAAAAAAAAAAAAAAACTAATCTTTCAAACTAACGTCTTTTAATCAAATCGAATTAATTGAAGGCGAATGTAGATTTTATGACAAGTAAATTTATGTATATTTGTTCCAAACAATCTAAAAAAAAAAAAAAAGATTTTCTGAGAGTGTAGCAGTAGGGGAAAAACAAAGAAAGCACTGGAAATAATTTCCAATCGCCATAGCTAAAATTAGTTGCATATGTATAATAATAGAAGCAACATTATATACAGTATATAATTCACATTAACAAAATCCTCAATAAGCCTGAAAGGTTGTCTGTGTGACCAGATAAAAAATTGATAAAAGGCAGCATTACAAATTTTATAAGGCGGCCATTCATAGCTTTGCATTCTTGATTATTCATCCTTCGTCAAGGAAGCTCTCCAGTTTCATTGTTAAAGTTCTCCTTATCTTAAAATTGTTCCTCAACCTGCAATTTGAACATTAATTACTTTAAAAAAAAAATTGCGTTAAATATAAAAGTGACCATATACACTTTATAGAGAGCATTCAAATCTCTTTAAAATAGTTTAGCACTCCAATAAGGCAACCATCAAATAAAAATTACTTAATCCATCTGAAAAAAAAAAAAAAAAAAAAAGAGAGAGAGAGAGGAAAAAAGAAAGACTTGGAAATAATTCCAATCGCCATAGCTAAATTAGTTCATATGATAAATAAGAAGCAACATTTACAGTATATAATCACATAACAAAATCCTCAATAAGCCTGAAGTGTGACAGAAAAAAATGATAAAAGGAGCATTACAAATTTATAAGGCGGCCATTCATAGCTTTGCATTCTTGAATTATTTCATCCTCGTCAAGAAGCTCCTCCAGTGTAAAGTTCTCCTTATCTAAAATTGTCTCAACCTGCAATTTGACATAATTACTTAAAAAAAAATTCTTAAATATAAAAGTGACCATATACACTTTATAGAGAGCATTCAAACATAAAATAGTTAGCACTCCAATAAGGCAACCATCAAATAAAAATTACTTAAATCCATCTGAAATGTCATAATGGTAACAAATTAAGGGATGCAAACTTTGTTACAGTTGATAGGTGGAGGGGAAGAGAGTTCAGGGTAACAAATAGCAGACAGATTGCACCTATATGAAAGAGATGTCGTTATGACTAACTATATCATCCCTCCAAACAGATGCATGAGGTGGGGGGAAGCAGAGAGAGAGAGAGAGAGAGAGAGAGAAGGAAGTGTTGAAAGTTGATGACAGTCAACAAACTAAAAAAGTAAAAAAAAGAAAAAAGTTCCCTGTATTAAGATCTGACTCATCACTTTACATCAAAGCACCAACCTCTGATGCATTGGAAACTTAAAACAGATATTGATAGACAAGACCACAAGTTAAGGGGAAAAAATGTAAACAAAATATTTATTATACTCATGTTTGGCATGGGTACAAACCCTCATACTCAAGTCCAAGCAACATAAAGATGGAGCAAATTGTTAGCATGTTAGTTAAAATTACTATGACTCCTAATAGAAATCATGTTTTCTGCATTAGAGAGTAGTAAAGGTTCACTTGTCTGGCCAGGGGAAAAGAAAGGTGCCTCAGGAAACCCTATAAAATCTTGAAAAAATAATTCTACCAACAAGATAGAAAATGAAACCAAATAAATATTAGTCCTTTTCCCAACCGAACAATTTCTAGGATAGTTGGCATAGTACAAAACAAGCATCTTGGCCATACAACAAAACCAGAAAACAAAAGAAGTCAAATAGATTCAAAGTAGGAGATAATTTTGAAAAGCTAAAGCCCTAGACTTAAAGCTAGAAGCAATTGTTCACTTCCTAGCTCAGCTATCGGTTGAATACTCTTGTTCAATCTATATGGATAGAAGGACTTTGGAAATCAAGTAGAAGTTTGTTTTCTGGATTTTGAAAAGTAAAGATCTTCCGTGACAGGAATCTATTATGAGTGGACAATTACTTTATCATTAAGTGCATTTTTTAAATAGTATCCAACAGAAAAGAAAGTTAAATGTCCAAGCAGACACCAGTTTTCCATCATTAGTGCATCAATTTCTAAGTCTAATGCTTTTTCCAAATTAAGTTTTACCATTTTTTCCCTTTCAGGCACTGTTATATCCAATAATTAATCCCATCCCCATCTTATATCCTATATTTTGCATCTAGTACGAACCAAGTGACCAAATTAACCTTTTCCTAGGTGTCACTTCTACAACAAGAAAAGAAGCAGCAATTAAGGCAACACATCCTTCAGTATTCTGATCTTTCCAAAGTTGTGAACTTACAGAAATTCAAGGAAGCACCTTAAAATTTTATTTATGTATTTATTTTGATTGTCATTCTTACATTGTTTATTCAAGGCTAAACAAGGATGAGGCAGACATAATGGTTATGTTGATCCATCTAAAGTAGCCAATTATTAATTCTAACAAAACCAGAGAAACAATTTATCAACTTCGCTATAAAAAATGAACTCCAAATGCCCAAACTAATAAAACCCGAACAAAACATTAATAGAAACGCCCTCTCCACCCAAACCCATCAACAAAAACTGGAAATTTAACATTTTAATACTGATACAATACGATATAGTGATGAATCAAACAAAAAATTTCAGTTTACGTGGGTCCCCAACACTAAAATCAACTAAAATTCAAAATGTCCAATTCATTTTCTCATTTCCCTCACTTTCCCAGCAACCAAAGCAATTCACACACACTACGGAACAAAGGAAATTATAATAAAAGGCAGAAAAAAAAAATAAACACAGGAATATAAATAAAAAAAAATCAAAAATAGAAACAAAGCATCCATTCAACAATTGCCAAAAACCAAAGTACTCACCGGCGACGCCGTGGAGAGCCCTGCCATGCGCCAAAACATCTTTGGAAAATTACAAGACAGAAAACCTTACTCAGATCTGCAAGCTCCCCGACAAACCCTAACGTTCCAACAACAACAATCTCCCACCAATTCACAATCACACAACAAAAGGTAACCAGAATCAAAGCAAAAACCCTAGATTTCCCCCAATACCAAAGAAGAAAAGATCCTTTTACATGAACTTCTTCCGATTGGATCAAATCAAAGGGTTTCAAAGATAAAAGAGAGATAGAGAGGTACCTAAAAGCACCTGTAATCGCGGGAGGAAGAGAGTGAAAACTATATCGCGATAAATATTTTTATTTTATTATTATTATTTTCTTTTTCAGAGAAATATTGGTTTTCATTTATAGCACTCGTATAAATAATTTATTGAGAGGGCGTTAATTATATATAGGAGTGGCATACAGTGTAATTTTGTGGAGTTAGAGGGCCAAAAGAAGATAGAAAATGAGAGTTGCCAAAATTAATAATAGGTTAGTTGCCTCCCCTCTAAAGTTGGAACATTGCTGTTCACTAACTTGGAGGGATGCATTAATGTGCCTTCCTAATTTTCTTATTTTGTTATTGAAATTTAACATAATAAATGATAATATTAACTCATTTATATTTTCTTTCCATCCACTGTTTCTTGACCTTTATTAAATTCCCATGCAATGAGTTTCCTTTTTCTCATAAATTATGAATATTAATTTTATAAAATAAAATTTTAAATATAATTATGTATATAGGTTGTTAAATCATTATATATTTATCTATACTCTATAATTTGTATTTATATTATATATAAAAATGGAAATAAGGAAGAATAATGTGATTCCCGATAATATCCTTAATGAAATTTAAAATATTTTAAAATAATCTTATTAATTATCAATTAAATTTTATTTTAAATATTATGCCATGCAATGATGAGGTTTTCCTTTTCTTCAATTAAATTATTATGAATATTAAATTATATGAGTATAAATATAAATCTTTAAATTATTATAGGATTATGATAATGAGGTTGTTAAATCATTATATATAATTATCTTTGATAGATGTATATCTATCTAATATCATTTTGTATTTATTATATTTATAATTATAATAAATATGAAATATAGCGTAAGTAATAATTTGTGATTCTCAGAGTGAATAATCCTTAAGAAATATATAAAATAATTTTTTAAATAATTAATTCTCATTTATGATCAATGAGTAAATAAATTTTATTTGTTTAAATTTATCTAGCTTAATTTAGATATATTAATGTTTAACTATATTATTAATTAAGAACTTTAGTTGAATTTATATTGTATTAATGTATTTTAATTAGCTACTATAAATAAAGCTATTATTAACATAAATATTTAAAAAATAAAATTGCTTTTCTAGTTTTTTTTTACTATATATATTTTTATTTTATTCAATAGCAATTTAAATTAAATGCTTAAAGAGTTAAATATTATATTTTACATAATAATTTACTGTATTGTATTATATAAATACATTATTTTTGCTCTTCTTTAACTTACATAACGCATAATATAAATAAAATTTATAATCAAATATAATCTACAAAATGTAAGAATTAAGGAGAAGGGAATTCCCATGGAAAGTTTTTAACCCAGTAGTCTTAAATTAAATGTTAGAGTTAAATATATATTACATATTTTCTGTATTTATTATATACATTATTTTGCTCTCTTTAACTTAAAAGATAATAAAATAAAATTTATAATCTATAATCTACATAAATGTAAGAATAGAGAAGGGAATTATGAAAGTTTTTAAAGTAGTCTTAATTTAATTTGAAATTCCTAATATATTATTTCAATTAAAATTTTTATGCATCTTAATCGAAGAAAATAAGTCTTTTTATCATTTTGAATGTCATTTTCAGTTGTATTTTTAATGTCTTTTAATAAAAAAAATAGATTCTATTTATCATTTTGTATATCCTTTTAGTTTGATTTTTTATATATTTTAATTTGATAAAATATATATATGTATACATATTCTATTTGATCTTATTATACCATTCTCCAATTATTTTTATAATTAATACTTTTTAATGTCCTTAATCATACTCATATTATATTGTTTTTTTAGGAAATAAATCGAAAACTTTAATTCAATTATTGAAAATGGAACCTAAATTCTTTTAATCTATTATGCTTTGAATTTTTTAAAATATGATTAAACATTTTATTATAAGATTCTATTAATTAATTACAATGAAATCTAAAATTAAAATTTTTAAATATATTATTTCTCTTTATTTTTTTGGAGAGGGTGGTGTGCACTTCTTTGAATCATTTACATATTATTGTATTTTAAAATTTTTTAAATTTAACAAAAGCAGTGAAATTATGAAATTATAGTATTTGACAGATATCAAAAAATAGAGTTTTTCCTTTTTTCAGTCTAATGAAATCTTTTTGAAAAAATAGGCTATAAATATTTGAATTTATTATCATTTTTATTTTCAGCTTTTCTATATTAAAAATGAAATAAAGAGAAAATTTAAGAGCTCTCTTTTTATTCAGTATTTGTATTTTTTATTTTTTTGAACTTATGAAATTTTATTTAATTTTTCTATAATTTAATTGGATACATTTTTTAAAATATTTTTTAAATAGATATAAAGATAATTAGACGTTTGAAATTAAATGTTTTTTCAAATATTTTTTTATATATGTCTTTGTAATTTTTGAATTTAATCTCATTTAATATTTTTTTACTATATGATCTTTGTAATTTTTGAATTTATATCTATTTATATCTTTTAAAACTTGAAGAAAAGTACATGTCCTATTATCAATATTTTTTGTTTTAGCAACTTTACCTATGTGACTTTCAAAGAGTTGAGAACTTTAAACAAATTTATTCTTTAGATTCTTGTGCAAGTACACTGTTTTCCACAATATTCATGCTGCTGATATCTTCAGCTTATCTTCGTCCGTGAGAACTTTAAACAATTTATTTTTAGATTCTGTGCAAGTACATGTTCCACAATATTACATGCTGCTGATAAAATTTCAGCTTATCTTCGTCCGACGAAAATAATTGAAGTAGAGATCAAAGTTATATCTTATATTTGTGGCTATGTAGAGTAAGTCTTGATTTATTATATTAATATCATAGTATTAATAATTTATACAATATTTTGCAGTAAGGTAAATGCAAACTCGTAGTGATTTTATATAATCAATTAACAATGAAATAGTATTTTTTTTATTAAAGATAAAAGCAGAAACATCATTTTCTTTTTTATTAGATGATACACTACAAGACATATTAAAAAAGTTCATTGCGTTTATAAAGTGAAATATTAATCAATTATTGTATTTATTTTAAGTGAAAATAATTAATTCGTCTCTGAGATTTGACCAAACTAACTAAATCACCTAGCAGTTTGACAATATTAATTAATAGTTCTCGAGGTACAACTTTGTCAAACCACTTGGTCCTTTCATCCATTTTCTCCATATTTTTCCGTTAAAACCTTTAAAAAAAGACTAAAATACCCTAACACTTGAGAAGAGTAAATAATTAATTCATCATCGAGATTTGACCAAACTAACTAAGTCATCCTGCAATTTAACAATATTAATTAATGATTCCTGATATTTACCTTTGTCAAACCATTTGGTCATTCCATTCATTTTCTCTATATTTTTCCATTAAAACATGCAACAAAAAAACTAAAATTCCCTGACATTTAAGAAGAAAAAGACCAAACGAACCTGGGTTCCATTTGTCGTAGAGGGAAAATAAAGAGTTAGGGTATACATTGATTATTTGATATTCACCAAAAAAAAAAAATTATCAATATAATGTGTCACTTTACTGTCTTGAGCCACCAATAAAAAGATTAAACAAAAAATACATCGAGTTAATTGCAATAGAAATAATAGGGATTTAATTTTAAGGATGACTTAATTAGTTTGGTTAAACCTTAAGGACGAATTAATTATTTTTCATTATTATGTGTTCGTGTATTTTAGTATTTTTTTAAAGGTTTTAACGGAAAAATTTGAAGAAAATAAACGGAAGAACCAAGTGGTTTAATGGAGGTAAACCTCGGGACCATCAACAGGCAATACACAGAAAGGGACAATTGGATGAATAAAAATATCCTTAGATTATTTCTTTTTCAATTTTCATTGATTAGCAAATGTTGAAATTTAATGTTGGTAAACTAAAATTTAATGTTGATGTGGCATCAAAACCAAGTGTTGCAAGTATTGGAGGGGTATTTAGAAATGAGTTAATGAAGCGTAGCTTCTTGCCATTTTTCATGCTGCAGAATTGTTTTGGCCGTCACCTTACAAGAATTCACCTTTGATTATTGAGTTTGACTCAAAAAATGTAATTTATTGGGTGATTCAGAAGTAAAGCGTTCGTGGCTTTAGTGTGATTCAATATGATAGTTTTAATAAGTTTTATATGATATTATGGGTTATTTTCAAAAATATATATATATTTATGAGAAATTAACTTTAGAAATGTCAATTTATCATGTTTAGGTGTGAGAAAAGTTTTCCTGGAAAACAAGGTAATTAAAAATATTAGTGTCATTTTATTTTTGACATTATGTTGTTTATTGCATGAATTCAACTTTTCTACTATCACGACCCAAACCATAGGCCAAACCGAAGTTAGAGTCCAGGTAAGTTTCAGACCCTTAAGGCCTGTAATAAGCCTAATTTATAGAAACAATAAGCCTATATTTTGACGTTATGTAATTAATCTGTCAAATTATATCTATAGCCCAGTTTCAATATTTCATGTAGTTCATAGCTCAGGCCTATATGTATATATATATATTGTATAATTCACGTCATTCATAATATGGGCAAACTGGCTCATTTAGGTTTGCTGAACAACACACTATTAATTTTTATATAATAAAATGTAAAGCAAAACATCCTAACTGCAGAGCCCAATAGGTTTGCTGAACAACACACTATTAATTTTTATATAATAAAATGTAAAGCAAAACATCCTAACTGCAGAGCCCAATAGGTTTGCTGAACAACACACTATTAATTTTTATATAATAAAATGTAAAGCAAAACATCCTAACTGCAGAGCCCAATAAATGGACAAGGATTGCTTATACACACAATACTGCATATGTCAACATAATCAAAGTTGAAATTACCATTGAATCTCTGTGAAGAATGATGCAGAGCTTTTCTGAATTAGTAAAATATCTACCTCTTGAGAAAAAATTTAAAGGAAAATGGTGAGTTTCACAAACTCAGTAAATAATAATAAATAATGTATAACCCAAACAATCACATGAAATACTTTCCAAATTTGTATAATGAACACACAATTAATCAAGCATATGTCATGACATCAGC